TTTCTCCTCTTTACTATGATACTTCGTTTTTCTTTGGTCTTTCACCTCTTGGCCTTAAAGTAGACGCTATCAGACACTAATGTTTGAAATCTAGAGTAAAATGGTTTTAGACATTTTCAAATAGTTATGTTTTTACTGTTTAATTAAAGGTTTGTAACTAAGTTATTTGGACCGTCAGAACCAAATTGCAGGGAAGAAATTCAATATATAAACACACATTTTAGATATAAAGATAAACCTACTGGGCCTATAAGAAGAAAAGCTACCTGTACCATGACAAAGTCTTATTACTGAACTTATTAGGTCCTACTAATCCCATATATCTTGAAAAAAAGCAAAAATGCACACCAAATAAAAACTCAGGTCTCAAGAGGTTAAAAGAGTTACTGAGCAATTGTTCACCTTTATTAGATAATGATGGTAGGGATGATGTACTTTTGTGGATTCAACTCATGGAAAAATCTTGTTTGTATCCACATTTTCACAGCCTGAAGCAGCCATCATCAACTAATTCCTTCCTCTTCTTGACTAACTCCTTCCTCTTCTTCCAATTGGTGACGTTTTTATTGTAATTTTCCTTTTAAATCGAATAGAGACAGCTAAAATCAAGACAATAAATCCATAAAAAAGAGAGAAAAATGCCTGTTAATGCACCAAATGCTTGTCGAAATGTACATAAAACAAAAACAATAGATTTCCTTATTTATTGTTTATTTATATCCATACCCATGATTACTTTAAAGTATACTAAGGTTTTATATGGTTACAGTATTTAATGAATCCATTACAAAATATGAATGGGGTAAATCAGCATAAATCAGCATTCTTTTGTTTAAGAGCACATAAATACTCACAATTTTACCTGAAAGGACACATTTTATACACCCAAAAGTAAGAATTGTTGTAATTGTTACAAACAAATTATTCTCTGATTATTCAGGGAACTTCCACCTAAACCACTTTATTATCTGCTTCTGAGTTTTTGGGTTCCACTTTGAAGGCTGGAGGTTCTGTAACCTGCTATCGGACCTATTGGACCTCTATGACAGGGGGCAGACAGATAGAAGAAGAAATCAATACACTCATCCTCTGTCCACCTTTAGCTGAAAGTGGAGTAATCGGGGGGATTACAGAGGAGTCCAAAGATGTTCAGATTGCTCAAATATCTCAGATAAAACAGCTTGAGTCGCAGTCCCAGTCCAGCAATTAGTCATTCATCATGATGGTTCCTGCACGATCAGCTGACTACAGGCTGCATGCAAAGAACTAAGGAGTCATGCTTTGGTTCCCAAGATAAGATCTTGTGCTGTATGCAACCTGTTTTCACAGTTTTGTAACATTTAAGCGTGTTAATGCATCTGCGTTTCTGCACTGTATTCTCACTCAGGAGGCCTAATGTGTCACAAACTCCAGCAACCCCCCATCACAAAAAGTAAAACACATCAAACTGAGAAGAATCAATAAACACTATTTTAAAACCTGTTCTAATAACCGGACATGAATTCTATGGAAGAATAAAAAAGCGTTCAGCTGGTAGTGGTGTGAAGGCCTCTTCTGACATCTAGTGGCCACAATTGGAACTTCAGGAGAACTGACAAATGTGGCTTTTTTAAGGCTTTTACTTCCTCTCAAAAATTATTTTTAGTTATTTAACCGACAGAATGGCCTGTATTGACCTCTTTTCCTGCCAGTACAACTAAATGTATTGGCATGTACCCCTCATTTCAGCTGTAAATACACAGTTCAGGGGTGTGAGCTGCTTGGTGCAGCCTTCATTCATGGGCCTTTGGCCCCATTCAAACCACAGAGCAGCTGTTTTGTGTTCCACACAGTAAGTCAGTCTCTGCCGGGTCGCAGCACAGCTCGACACCGACAACAACTCAGGCAGTGTGATAAGAAACGTCTTAGGATGTGGCAGGATGCGTTTTTTAATTTTAGGTATTTTAATGTTGTTTTTCACTTCGTATTTCAGCACCAAGAGTTAAAGGAGTTAAAGGAGTAATATCAGTGTCAGGTTCAGCAGTTTCTCTTGTTATTAAGCCCCACAGAGTTTCCAGCTGTTCCCACAGACATTCTCTGGATGAAACTTTTGTGTGATCAGTCTTTGAATCTCCTGAATCCCACATGGACTTTGCCTTAGCTTCACGATCAGCTCCAGTCCTCCAGGTGTTGGTGGATGTCTGCTGGCCTCAGTAACGGCTTCTGAGCAGCTCTGCTTCCCTTTAAGCCTTCTTCCATCAGTCGTTCTGGAAACTTTCTCAAACTCGTTCTTCCTTCTGTCTCTGCTCCTACAATTCTGCTGCAGCTAACTTTTGTTTCCTGCCTCTTTCCCTTAAGTGGCTTTCAAAGGCTGTTCCTCAAAGTTTGGGTCAGAACTCAGATTTATGAAGGAGGAAGCTCCACAGTTTGGGGTCTAACTTCAAACGTTCTGTCACCTTTATTTTCCAGCCCCGAGGCGCCAGTCATAATCCAGGGAGTCCTCCTGCTGACAGGGTGAAGGTTTACAGCCATTTGGAGGTCCCGGGTCACGGCGTGAGGCCCCACCCAGTCCAAAAGATGTGAAACATGTCATGGATCAGCGTCCAGCTCGACTGCTGGTCTGAAAACAGTTCAGAGCCAAAATACCCTCCCTTCACTTCCAGTTTAAACAGGAAAACCAGACCAGAAAGTGGCCGAGAAGTTTGAAACAGGTCACAAACCTGAGGTCTGATGAACCCCGCTGAGCTTCCACATCTCCTGATTTTATTTATTTTATTCATTTATCTAACCTTGTCCTACTCAGTCCTCTCATGTCAGCTGTATGGCATCTCATTTTCAGTTTTTTCTCTTTTTAAAAACAGCAGATTCAAACTTTCATCAGCCAGTTTGGAGTCAAAGCTTTGAGCTTATTCTTCTTGTTCCACTACTTGTTTAATTGTTGTTTACAGACAGTTTTTTTTTTGGGGGGGGTAAGGTTTTCAGAGCCTTAGCACTCCCGCTTTAGCTCCAGTTTCAGGACTCTAGGAGCCGCTTGGCTTGCCCCAGAGCTCCTCCCAGTGAGTTATTGACCAGAAACAGGAAGTGAAATTCCTCCCATGTGTAGACTCAGTGACTATTTGTAACTGCTTTATTATAAGTGGCTTGCTTTTGACATGACCTTCTCACCCCTCCTCTATGAATGGAGCACTGCAGGAAATAAAAAGCATAAAAAGTCTTTGAAGTATCAGGATATCTGCAGTTTGGAGCCCCCACCAAACGGGCTCCATCATCATGGAGTTACTGAACAACCAGTTTGCCAAAAATCTTTACACCTGAATAATTAGAACTGAGAGTTTGTCTATTTTTTGGTGGACTGCACACTCAGCTTCCTGATAAGTATCAGGAAGCCGAGTGTGCAGAATTATCATTGTGCAACGTTTCTGAGAATAACTAAAAAAAAAAAGAACCACAAAGTCCTTCAGAGACAGATGATGGAGCCGGGTGTTTTAGCCGACTAAAAGGACCCTAAAAGTCCTATATTTGCTTTATTCAAACTCCACTGTTCATTTTCATGTTTGTGCTCTGTGATAAATCCACGATGGGCTTCTGTGGACGCACACTTTGACTTGTGTGTCGTCCTCTCGTTTCTTCTCTTAGGTCAAAAAATGAATTCGACATTTTTGGGACATTTGAAAAAAAAAGTATTTTTTGATTTTGCTCCTTTTTCTTCAACTTGACCAAAACACATGTATAATTCCCCTTTTTTCCAGTCAGTTTGAATAAAATTACTCCTTAGTTATGAGTGGGAAAAGTCTGAAATCCTAAAGACTTGTTCAATAAGTGAAAGTAAAAATCATTGAAGGCGTGTGCATGAGTGAGTTTATTGAACCAGAAATGAACTGTGATCGTTCTGCTCCATTTGTGTCCTGAAGACCAGTAGCTGCTAGAAATATTAATAAAACACCAATAAACCTATTAGGAATGTCGATATTTATCTGATCTATAAAGGATGCAGAGGGACATGATTCCTGAAAATTACAGGAATTCTGTGAAAGTTCACCTTAAAAATTATCAGAGGAAAAAGAATTTTGGTCTAAAAATTACATTATCCCATATAACCTTAAATAAATAATTTAAAAAGGGTTTATACAGTTTAGATTTTGAAAAAATGAATAAAAATGGTGGTATGTTCCAACATTTGTTAGTATATAGCAAATTTCTAACGTTGAAAGTCATCCAGAATCTTACTACTGCTTTATTAGTTCATTCCTTTCCAAAAATCATTTCCATCAGTCCGTCTTCCACCTGCTTCTTTAGTTTCAGGGTATTTGCAGCTTATTCCAGCTTCATCTCAATCAATTAAACCAAGGAGTAATCCTTAAAAAACTAATTTACTGGGTATATTCAGAGACTCCTCTGGAATCATCTGCACAAATATTGCGATATTTGTGCAAGAGATTGATTTCTAGAATTTAATTTAAAGAAAATTAAAGAAAAACAGAGGAAGAGGATGGAGAGGAAGCCCAATAAGATAATTTCCTTTAATGAGTTTTCCTTCTAATCCTCCAATTTATTCAACTAAAATGAAAAAAATGTAATTTCACTCAATAAAGTATAGTTGATTATTCGTTTTTACCCATTAATATTGTTTGTTTTGATGTTTTTCCTTGTATTTATTCATGATGTTCTTTATAATTCTGCTCTCAGTTCAGTTAAAGAGTGAAGTTAAGCATTCAGACAGGTGTATTTTACACAATAATCCTCATTATTGCTGTTATCATTACTAGACACACACATGATCTCAATCCTGGTTAGTCGTGTGTGTTCATAGAGAAAAACATTTCCAGGGTGGAGAAACAGTGTCTTGTCACCAGATTGCATCACCATAAGATTCAGAAATTCACTTCCGCTGTGCTAAGACAGGAAGCAGGTTTCTGAGAGCATGCGGCTCATTTTCACACAGCAGGAAAAGGTGGTAGACGTTTCGAGGGGTTTTACATGAGCAATCAGGTTGGAACAAAGGCGCCTTGCACCTACGAGCCATGAGCAAAAAACTGAGTGAGTCCTGCTCGATTTTCTCTCCTTTAAAGACCGACCAAGTTTTGGGGTAAAAGCAACAAACACTCAACTGGGTCGTTTTGGAGATCCTGCCTCAGTTTTGCACAGCATTTTATCAAATGATAAATGTTTTCAGAGATTTAAGAAGGCAGAGAGTGAAGAAGCTTGCGTCTCGTGTGACATCAATGATCAGAAAACAAAAACTTATGCTCACAGGAAGCACGGCGGGTTTAAAGAGGGTCCAAATGGAGGCTTTAACTCTGCCCATGTCATCAGGACCTCAAGCAGGTGTTTTGACAGGCAAAGAGGTAAAAATGGGAAAGATCTGAAGGACTGAAGGTAAAGGATACAATGGTAAAGAACAGTGGAACAAAACAGGAACGAACATGAGAGAGCTAAAACCAAACCAAGAACCAAATATATTGTTTAATATTTAGCCAAAAAACAACACATTTTTCACATTTTAGAGGTTTTACAAAGCCTGGGGGTTGAATGCTTTCGTCTTATCTGATGCTGGAAGCCGATCCTGTCTCTGCTGGGGGTGGAAGTAAGTTCAGTTGGCAAAAAAATGGGCTCGGGTCATCCGTTCTCAGGGCCGGTCTTCAAAAACCGAACCCAGATTAACCACACGTCCTAGAATAATGCTAAATTATTCAGTTGTTTGGATCTGTGACTGTTTAAACCAAGAAATGGAGTCAAAGTGAGTTCATACTTTTTACTAATCGCTAATTTTCTGGTTTGTGTGCGTTTTTCTTTCTGCTTTCAAGTGTGATTTAAACACATTTCAGCTGATTAAACTGAAGAAGTAGCCAACAAACAGGGACATGTTGTCTGAGGAAAGAGGCTGATGAAAGTGCATTTGTGTCATCCTGTAAAAGAACATGATGCATCGGCGCTTGTCTGCTGTTGCTTTGTCCTCTGTTCCACTCACAAACAACCTTTTTGGTGGACTGTAGAGCAAAAATAGGCCCGTCGTTGTGCGGGCTGTTCAGCCCCGGCTCAGCTCAGAGGAGGCAGTGTCTGGTGGAGGGACAACAGCCCTCTGTGGGATCCGAGGCACCATCCAATTATTCCCTTCTTTTATTTGACATGTTCCTGAGAAAAGTGACTGGATATAAATCTCCAGGCCACTCGAAGGGGCTTTAAAATCAGTTGATTAAGTAGATGAAACAGTTTTATGAACTATCTATCTATCTATCTATCTATCTATCTATCTATCTATCTATCTA